TGTAAATATGTTGGACTTTACTGACTAAAAAGCCCTCTTTTTTTTTTAATTTTTTATTGTTGGTTGTTCAAAACATTACATAGTTCTTGATAAATCATATTTCACACTTTGATTCAAGTGGGTTATGAGCTCCCATTTTTACCCCATATACAGATTGCAGAATCACATCAGTTACACATCCATTGATTTACATATTGCCATACTAGTGTCTGTTGTATTCTGCTGCCTTTCCTATCCTCTACTATCCCCCCTCCCCTCCCCTCCCCTCCCCTCTTCTCTCTCTACCCCCTCTACTGTAATTCATTTCTCCCCCTTGTATTATTTTTCCCTTTCCCCTCACTTCCTCTTGTATGTACTTTTGTATAACCCTGAGGGTCTCCTTCCATTTCCATGCAATTTCCCTTCTCTCTCCCTTTCCCTCCTACCTCTCATCCCTGTTTAAAGTTAATCTTCTTCTCATGCTCTTCGTCCCTACTCTGTTCTTGGTTACTCTCCTTATATCAAAGAAGACTTTTCTGGCGAGCATGTTCCAGTCAGGTGTTTGTTGCAATAACAAAAAGTTGACTACACAGCTGTGTTTGGGGGTGGAGATATCTTTTGAATATGAAAATTTTGAGAGACTGAGGGCATCTATGCAAAATAATAAGGTTGGGAGAATGCAAGTTGATGCTTTTTTTTTTTTTTCCTGCTCAATACTACAACAGTAGTTGGATTAACTGGGAAGTAAAAGAATTGGAAATTTTTGTTCATTTGGTTTTTTTTTCTTTAAACCTTAGACACTAGAAAATGGTTCAGTGTCTCATTTTGTAGTCAAACCTTGACATGTTAGCACATCAAGACAACTGAAACTCAACACATGTTTTAGGAAATCTCAGAGCAGAGGGATCTTTACCCACCTTCCAAATTGTATCCTGGATTGGATTATAGGGTCCAAAGAAAAGCTTTGAGTTCAGCATGGTGCCTGGTTGGTAGATATAAATAGATAGATAGGGGTGCCTGGATAGGTGGCTCCCAAAATCAGGGTCACCTAGGCAGACATAAAGAGGTCTTAAGTTCATGACTTGGAATAGAATTGGTAACTGGAAAGCAAAGTGGGATAACCATGCTTCAAGGTAAATGTGAGGACAAAAAAATCGAACACCAGTATGAATATTACAAAAGTAGGAATTGCACATCCCAACAGCAGTATAGATAGGTATCAATGACTTTGGATTTGACACTTGTCCCAGAGGCCAGTGTGATACCAGAAAGAAAAATTGAACCCTGCAATGATGAAAAGGAGAATGAGGAGGAAAATTCTGAACTGTTCGGATATTTTCGTCAAAGAAAGTATGTTTAAGCTAGAAAAGTAAAAAGTAACTGAGTTTATTTTACATTGGCAAGATAGCATGTTTTGCCACCCAAGGGAAGTTAAGTTCACTTATAGAGAAAAATTTTAAAAGCTACAGTTTTCATGCCTGAGTTATGTAAAATATATACTTCAATTAAAAGAAAAATTATTATTTGTAATTGTACTTGAGGTCTTGTTGAAATAATTTATTCTGATTTTAGAAAGTGGGAGCTGGATGATTTTCACTGGGGCAATGCTTCTGTACAGATATATTTTCTTTTGAACATTTACTTTTCAACCAGATGCTTGGTAGGGCTGTCTATGACCTTATTTTCCAAAAGTAAAAAGTAGCCTAATGGGAGGAGAAGGAAAATACCAAAATGATTTTCCTAAAGTGTTTCATAATAATCATTTTTCCTTAAACATAAAAGAAATTGCACTAATACATCTTACTCTAAATACAGACTGGAAAACTGAAAACCTGGATTATATGGCCAAGAGGAAATGACATTATGAAATGCTCCTTCTGACTTTACTACATCCATTTAAATAAAAGAAATAGGAATAAATGTTAGGAATGTGTTTTCAAGAATGAGCTTTTAGTTTGCGGTATTTTATTCTGGCTCTAAGCATAACCTGCAAATAAAATAAAAAGAAGATATTTATTTGTTTTTATAAAAACAAAAACAGTTTATGTGTCAACTATTGATGTTGTCAACATCATTCTGCCAGCTTCCTGCACCATTTTTTTCTTTTAATCTTTCCATTTAGAAACAATTTTAAACTATATGAAAGATAAACGTGTAATACAAAGAACACCTATATGTTCCTTACCTGGATTCACCTATCATTATTGCCACCTATCACTTTGAATGATACCTAGAGTTTTTTTTAAAAAATATACTGAGTACTTTAATAAAATTAGTCAAGCTACAATTTTGTGTGTGTTTATGGGCAGCATGTCTGGTACACACAGTTTTTAGGGAAATATAGTTTTTTCCATGCCACGGGAATCCTCTTAGGACAATAGGGTCCAAATTGCTTTACTTTTGTATTCCTATGAGGGGCCACTTTCTTGAGAGAAGAGTCAGTGAAGCTCCTAAATATTCCAGTGAATGACTGACTGAATGAATGAATATACTACAAAACAAATAAATCTTAACAACAGGTACAAATTTAAAAGTGAAAGCCTCATTCTTTAATCTTTGTTGTCCTTTTCTTGGATAAATGGCATTTTATAAATGTTTCCAGAAATATTCTAAGTATGTGCAGTATACAAAGACATGTACCCATCACTATACTAATCAGTACTGAGTAACAGACAGAAGTACAAATACCTCTATTAAATTAGAAATATAAATTTAGATATACTTTTCCATATTTTACCAGTGTATATAACAGCTTCTATAGCCTGTTATTTTCATATAGCAATGTACCTGAATTATTTTATAATATTAGTTTTCATATAGAAGTGCTTCAGTTTTTTAGAAAGTTGAATAATATTTTGTTGTATAAATATGCCATAATTTTAATCCATATGCTAAATGATAAGCATTTAATTTCTCCTTTTAATTTTTGCTCTTATAAAAGTATGAAGCTTAGATTTACAAAGATTTTCTCTATCTTCAAGTGAGATTTTTTTCTGTAAAATTAATTCCCTAAATTTTTTTGCATTTAGATTGTAATTATGATTTTAAAATACTTTTGGCAATTAAATAAATTTGTTAAGTCATTTTTTTAATTGAAATTTTTGTCTCTTGACACATAGAAGGAAAGAAGTGGGAGGGGAAATAGAAGATAGGTGTGCTAGTTCTTTTTATGTTGTTGTAATCAAAATACCTGACAAGAACCAGTTAGAGGCAAAAAAAAAAAAAAAAAATAAAAAAAAGAAAGCTTATTTTAGCTCATGGTTTCAGAGGTTCATTCCATGGTCAGCTGCCTCCATTTATTGGACTTGAGGTGAGGCAGAACATTATGGCAGAAGGGAAAGCAGTTCAGCTCATAGTGGCCAGGAAACAAAAAGAGAAAGGAAAGAGCCAGTGGGACAAGATATTATCCTCAAGGGCATTACCCTCAGAATCCTACTTCCTCCAACCATGCCCCATATGCTTATAGTTTCCAACCAGTGTAGCCCTTTCAAATTATTAATTCATTAAATGAATTGATCCACTAATCATTTCACCTCTGAACATTTCTGGTTTGTCTATCATATGAGCTTCTTGGGGGATACTCATATCCAAACCTAACAATGGGAATAAAGTCAGTCTAATTTGGGGGGGAGGAAATGGTTTCTTTATACAAGTGAAGGTGACAGGAACCTTCTGGTCAAGATCATGATTGCCTTTATTTACCAATATCCAGTTGTGAACTTTGTGTGTCTTTCAGAAGGCCAGCTTAAATATTACTTCCTTGGGAAGAATATAACAACTAGAATATAATTTTTATTGTATGGTCCTGTAGTATCCTAAAGTTTTCATCTTTTTTCAATAATAGTGTCTTAGACAAAAACCAAGAAGGTCTATAAAGATAGAGACATTGTCTGTCTTGTTAGTTAATGTATTCTCTACTTCATAAAGATGTCAAGGTGCGCAGAATTTGTTTAAAGCAAACTAAAAGACCCCTCAGCACCCAAAACAAAAACAACAGACAGACGAACAAGAAAAAAACACCAAGTCAAAAAAGCAAAAAGGAAAGAGGAGAAAAAGAAACTGAGAAAGAGACAAACTTGGAAGGGGAAGGAAGGGAGGGGGGAGGAGAGAAAGGAGAAAGATGAATGGTGTTAGGGTTTAGTGTTATAGACATTGAACAAGTTTGCAAAAATGGATTATAGAAAACAATTGAAATCACTCAGATATGAAAATTTTAGTATTTCAGAGTTTTGTGACTCTATAATCAGGTAACTATTGTGTCATTTTCCAGAAAGTTGAAGGAGTTGATGATAGGCTGATAGCTTGGCTTCTGGCTGCTGGGTAAAAGCATTGGGAGGGCCTGGATCTGGTAAGAATTTTTTTTTGAGGGTTTATTCCATGATTTAAGTTGTACAAAGAGAACTATGTCATGTTAGGAGTAAATAAATACTTGCTTTCTATTCCCTAATGCTGTGAAAATAGAAATTTAATTATAATCCTGATTCTTTCACAGTGGGGCCAGCTTGGAAAGTGGATTAACTTGAAGCCTGTAACATGAAGTAACTACTTCTTATTGTATTCATGAAGTAGGCTTGCTTATTTTTATTTTAGATTAGAATATAATACAATGGACATACAAAGAATTTCCTAGCTAAAATTTATTTTTCCTTTTTTGTGTATTGTAATATATGAAGATATTCACATTGGACATGTTGTCTTAATTAAGTGTCACCAAACTTAAATAATTAGGAAAGTGATGTTTAAATGTATAGGTTTCATGTTTTATCTGTTTCACTCCTTTTGGACCAAGTTTTCACCAACTTTGGAAAGTATGTTCATGGAAGAAAATTAGCTGAAATTCTAACAATAAATTTTTGCCAGGTTTTTGTTTATTTTACTTATCAGTAGTCTCATACTTATCAATATTCCAGATTGACAATTGATTCTCATAGTACCAGAGGTAGGATCCAAGTTAAACTTAGGAGGATTTATTAATATATGGAACATACCTCACTTGGATTTCCTCTCTTAATTCATTGAAATTAAATCAACAGAAGCTCGATGCTGCTCATACCTTGAAGAAGCAACTGGCAGCAAGTATTGCTCATGGAAAAGTTTCCTTTACAAGCTAGGAAAACATTTTGGCTTCATCCTACACATATACTCTGCTCCAAGGTCTATTGCTACTGTTTTCCGAATTACTCACTGGTTTGATGAATGGTAGTAACAAGTAGTGCTTTTATTGCAATGTACAGATGTTGATATATTCCATGATTTTCTTGGAGTAAATGGAAGTCTTTCATGTTGAAAAAACTCATTTTGGAAGTAATAGAAGAACCTAGATTTCCACTTTTAAAAAATCCATACACGTCCTGCAGTTTTATTCTTGTTTTTCAAAGAAAGTTTGTTTAAAGAACCTGTCCTCCTTGGCACTGATAGAAAGCAGATGTTACCAGCAGGATGAAGCCAGGAGGCTTAATGAAAATAATAGAGTTAGAAATAGAATAATCATGTTGAAGGTCAGAAATAGATAAGAATCCTTGTATAAAACAGAGTAAGGCTTGTGGGCCTGTGTATGTGTGTGTGTGTGTCTCTGTGTGTGTGTGTACAGGCACATTCAAAGAGAGAGGATGAAGAAAAGGAGATGAAAGAGGGAAACATTAGATGACAGTGTTTCATCATGAAGTCCAATTTTACAAATGGTTTGGAATTACCTGCATTTACACTTAGTTAATTGAGTGTTTGTGGTTCCCATAGTACATGGGACTTTTAACTTAGAGTTTATAACCCAGTATAAAGAATGTGTGTATGAATTCCTTGGAAAAGTTTCCAAGGTTTTTATTATATATATATTTGCTACTTGAATTTCTTACTATATTCAGAAATATAATATTTTCAAAAAAATAATTTTCACTATATCAAATATTGTGACTGAATAAATAGGACTCTTGCCTTGTTCATATTTCATATTTAAAGTGAAATCTACATAATATTTGTAGTTATTTATGAGCTCTTCTATGTGGTATTATTTAGTTATGTTAAGTAATTTTGATAATTATGTCATATTGTTCATGCAAATATTTTTAAGGTCAGGAAAATATGTGGTGAGAGAAGGAAGCTATTTAGGAAATACAGGGAGACTATATTGTGTAAAAGTGTTGCAAAATTTGGTCTGTAGAGTTTATTTATTAAAGTACAAAGATTATTTAGACATTTTTCTTGATGTTGGGTTAGAACAACAGAATATTGCTTTAAGATTATGCGAATTTCAAGTAATACAGAGTAACAAATGCTAATGTCATTTTTATTTCTTTTTTATTTCTGTAATGGACTGAAGTAATAATGGAATATGTCTTGATTTTTTCATGGTATGTTAAATAATTACAACTTTTCCTAATTTTTGTTAGTATGACATTTGTAGAATTTCCTATAATTGCTATTTTATGTATAGTTGTATATTTTGGTAGTTTTCCAGTACTAGCTGTCATATCTATATGCATGTTAGTATGCTAGATTCTATATCCTATGAGTTTCTGTCTTCATGTCACTGTGCTTACTAGTAGATTTGTGTGGTACAGTAATAATTGTACTTAAATAGTCCATAAATAACCCTCAATATGGTACAGTGAAAGGATGGCAAAAATTCTACACTGTGTTTGAACAAACCAAATGTAATTCTGTCTGAGCACTATTCCACCTGTAGGAAACTTCTTAAGACTTTGCAAAAAGCTGAATAATGCTCATTAGTATATATAGATTTTTCATACAATTTACATGCTTACTTTACCTTCATATTCTGTGAACTAGTTTTGACTAACTTATAAATTGAAAAGATTCCAATTCCCCTTTGTATCTTTCTTTGATCATATTAAAAACTAATTTAACAGAAGTGCTAATGAAAACAAATGGCCCTCTGAGGTGCAGAGGACATGAGTGAGTCTGCCTTCCGTTCACAGAAGACATTACACTGATTTCCCTGGAGCGAATACCACTGAACTCACCAGCACACCCCACTCCTGCCAATCCACTACCTGGACTTAGAACTGAAGTGTTGAAAATATTCACCTGAAAGAAAAAGAAAGTAGATTCTAAAATGGTATGCAAACTTAGTGCCTACAAGAAATAGCCATTTCTCGTTTTTACCTTCGGTTTTATCTGTGTCCTTCCTTGACATTCATCGTATTCTTCCTGATATTACAGTAATTCACATTTAAATCTGCTCCCTTTTGTATTTTCAACTTTCTTAAATTCAATTTCTTCACCCAACTTTTATTTTAAGTTTCTATGCAACTGGATTTGAAGCTATAATGTCCACAGGGACCTTATTTTCAAGACTATAAAAATCTACAAAAGCCTCTTTCTAAATCCTAATGTTCATGTTTAGTGATAATAATAAAGGCTTTTATATACAGATCACTATCTCAAATCTTGTTATTAGCCCAGAAACTTGCTGGCAGGATGGTTTCATCAGTCACGGTCAGGTTGCACTGGGTGGCCTGTAACCATTATGTCATTATCATTTGGGGGATGAGCTGGTCACTGTTTGTAGTTTCACCAAGTTGTTCTATCAGCTCTCCAGAAGTAAATGCAAATAAACGGGTCCCAAACCCCTCCAGAGCACACTGTAAATCTTTGTAACTCCATGGCCAAATGGTAAACCGCAGGACCACATGACTCAATTCCCTTGAGACAGTCGTGTTTTTCCTGTCAGACTTTTCTTCCCTCATTCATCAGCTGGAGGCTTTCATCTCCTTTTAAAGTCATGGCCTTTCAAGTAGGGGTGAAATTACACCTGTCAGTAATAAATGTTCCCAGTGCTCTGTGTCATTCTGTCATTTCACAAAAGAAATTAGAAGTAAGCCTAGCCTATACCGTATGCAGTTAGCAACACTTTTTTCCCCTTTTCTATAGTATTTTGAAATACCTTCCAGCTATGTAATTGTTGTGCAGATTTTTAAAATATTCAATAAATCGGGGGCCTATAGCTTCTTTGTGCGGTATATGTTATTAAATTCAATAACTACATTAAACTTATTTGACAGAAAGATTTGGCTGTATACACAATCTGCAGTGGAAATCTAAATGTGCCCCTTAGCACACTTGTTCTGTTTATTTTTTCTAAGTTACACTCTGATAACTTTGTGGTTGCCCATAACACCATACAGCAGGTGCACCTGTGCAGCCACCATCTTATTTACATAGAGAACAAAGTTAATGTTTTATTAAATCCAGGCCACACCTGGGTTGGAACAGTAGTAGGAAGCTGGGTTCAAATCAGAATTGCCACTTGCTTTTTAGCCTGATATTTGAACTACATTGAGCAAACTCTCTAGAGTTCTCTTGAAAGTTTTGAGAACTTGGTCTATTAATTCTTCATTAACCAAAGGATAAAAAGGGAACTGGAAGACTGAGTTCATTATCTGTAAATCTCACCATTAACCATGCTAGGTTTTGACTTAAGAAACAAGAGTAACTGAATTGTGTCATTACCACCCACACCATACACTGTCCCAAGGCATAGAATTATTCAAATATAAATGTATTGGGCTTGATATACCTGAGTGTGAGGGCAAATGTTTTGATTAATGTCCTAAAACTGAATTTAATGAATGTGTGTGTATCTCACAAATCATTCATAATGGTTATATTTTAAAACTTGTTTATGTTCCTCAAAAAAAATTATGTGCTGATTGTTTTTAGATTGGTGAAACAGCTGCTAATACATGAAAATAATTAGCCACACACAATTTTATTAGCAGAAACTTATGTTATTTTTTTCCAGAATGCAAATGAAGTATATAATTTCGCTATTTGTATATATTTGCATACTCTGTCTTCCCCGTTCTTCTTTTAAGAAATAAAATAGCACAATAAATTTTAAAACAGCCCAAAACTTAGAAGAATGAATTAATCCAGCTTGTTACTAAAGAATTTATTTCAAAAACACTTTGCTGATTTAATTTCCTCTAGAAATGATTACATGTACTATCATTATAATTTGATGATAAAAACCTACTGTGTCTATTTCAAGCCTAATTAACCAGTATCCTAAGTTAAGAATTACCTTCATCCATATACAAGGCTGAAAAATGAATTGCTATTATTAAATACTGTGTTTTGTGAAAGCTCTATATAAATAATTTGAGAACAGAATTATCCCTATTGTGTACCCAAATTATCTTTATATTAAATAATTGTCTGGTTCAATTTAAAGTTTTCCAATAATACTGCCATTTAAGTAGAAGTTTAATTTAACACTCTCAACTAAGCACGAAATGCCTTTGAAAGTGCCTAACTCGCGGCCTTGAGCTTTCATTGAAGGTCTTCTTCCATTTAGCACAGGGTTCTTAACGTTTTTTATTCATCTTCAAAAAAATAAGACATATCACTCCAAGAGAATCAAGTGCAGTAGTGAAAAAAGAAAGGCTAAGAGCCCCAGAAAGAAGGAAAATGTCCCATGCTGTGCTGAACTATTGTGGTCTTGCACAGTGTTGACAGCCCTGGATGAGGGGCATTCCTCACTCCATAGTGAGCCAAGGTGTGGAGATCTACCCTTTCTCCTAAGCCAGTGAGTGGCAGGGTAGGTTATTAACTCAAGGTATTTCAACTGAGCAGTGTCTTCAGGGCTGATGTCAGTCTAGCATATTCTGCCATAACAAAAAGTAGAGAATTCACTGGAGAAAGGTGTACAGAGCTTTGACACTTGAAGTTATTGACATTGTATATTTTGTGGAACCTCTCATTTTCTAAGGATTATGAATACATTACTAAATTTTTAATTGTTCTCCAAATCATTTAATTCAATATGATGTAACACCTATGATATCTTAAATATATTTAAAAAAAAACACTTCAACCAACTCAATCCATTATAAGCAAAAAGTACATTTCTTTCATTTGCTCTCCAAACTTGGGTCCTATACATAGTGTCAATCAAAATAAAAAGAAACACTTGTTTCTTCCCTGCCTCATCTCCTTCTCCAAAATTTCAGCTGATTTTATGTTCAACTGATATGCTTACATACCATGAAGCAGTGTTTTTTAAAGTATAGTCACAATGTTGCTTTCGTAGAAAACTGCTGTCTTGGGAAGT